CTTCTGGGCCCCAGTTCCCCATCTGTAAAAAAGGGGAAAAAAATAACAACATCCCTAATAGTAAAATAATAATCCAATAGCATTCCTACCTCAATATATTATTTAATGCATGAGTGGGAGACTTGCACCCCTCTGCTTGCTGTTTTGTCATGGCCATCTAAACCCCATCGCTTTCCAAGCAAGTTGAAGTGTTCAGTGACTAATGCAATAATATAAGGACTGCAAAGTGTTATTTAGATTGCTGTGCCAAATGGACCCGTGTTTTATATATTAGAGCAATCACAACAGTTACCTCAGTTCAGTTACCTAATTCAAAAGAAGATAAAATACCCCTGGGTAGCCTAAAATTCTCAAAAGATAGAGGAGGGGAAAACTGGCACTATGACATAACCTAGATGTTACTTCCTAGATGAGAATCAAGAAGCAAGACAATTTTATTCTTAGGGACTCTCATAAAATAAGACTTTGGGACATGAGGCGTGGTTTGAGGCAGACAGACAGCTGCAGTTATTAAGATATTAAAAAAAATGAGAGTAGTCCTAACTGTATTCTCATGGCATCCAAAGAAACCAACATCGCATGTAACAAGACCCCTGAAGTTGCACAGTCAAAGACTCAGAAGATTCAGAAGTTAGGAAACAAAAATTGGGGTTGTGTGCTCAGTTTTAATGTGGTTCCTTGGGGCATGTGATTAGGGCAGTAATTTTAAGCACAGGAACAGATATGCTATTTTCCATAGGACTTCTGCCTCATTCATGATGGATATATTCCATACTCTTTACATCCTTTTCATTAAGCCCTCCCTTTTTTTTTTTTCATTTATAGTGCCCTGTAAATATTTTCATTTCGTACTGAAGTAATAGAACTGTATGTAAAGTTTTCCACAAAAATATTGCTTATACTTTATCACAGAGAACTGACAAAACAAAAGCAAAGCTAAAATAATTAAATATCAATTACTGTGGAAGAAGCCAAACTTTAACAATCTGCAGCTTTCAGTTGCTTTTTAGTACTAATGTTGACCTCTGCTATTCATATGCTGGTGGTTTTGTTGCTTTTTTTATGGTAAAGCACCTCTACAGGCACGTGCGGGGGGACATTTTGACCCAGCTGATATCAAGCCTGCCTGGACAGCTGTTTTGACTGTCTGTCTGAATTTGTAGCTCCCTGAAGATATCACAGACTACCACAGCATCAGCAACACAGTGTGCATCAAGGTTTCATAGACTTTGTTTGGATGGATGCTGTCAGTTATGGCAACAATGAGAAGGAGAGGGAACATCAGTGGCTGATCTTACCTCTTTTACAGCTCAGTGTTACTCTGAAGGCATGTATCTGTCCTAGAAAAGAGCATTCTTTTTTAAATGTCTTTCCTTGTTAGCACTCTCCCATATTTGCTTTGAGCTTGCCTTTTTTTTTTTTTCCCAGAATTTTCATCATTAGAAAATTAGCCCTGCATCTGTTAGAGCAGTATTTCATTTCCTCAGTATTCTGTCTGAGTTCATTTATTGCCCCAACAGGGGTCTGCCTGCTTTCTTCTGTTTTTTGTTTTTTGGTTTTTGTTTTTTTTTTTCCCAATAATTGTTTGGCCTGGTATTCAGGAGCTCTCCTTTTGAGTGCTACCTTCTTTACTCAGTGACAGTCATCCTGTTTGTTCTACATCCAAACTGGCATAATTTCTGAGCACTGACCACTCTCTTCCACTGCAATCTCTGACCTCGTTGTCTAACAGAACCTTGCACCTTTTGGGTTTACTTTTGTATAAATGACTGTCAGCTACA